ATCTGGCTATTCTATAGACACGTGATGCTTAACATGTTCAGGTCAGTAGTCATTATCTTTTCCTTCACATTTGCTCCGCCTCCGTAATTCTCTATCACCATTCTTCCAGGTCCCCAAGCTTAGAAAATTCCCTTTTGCCCTTGGCTTCTTGCTCTCCTTCATCTTTCCGATCTCACCGGTCACCAATCCTGTTGTTGCTAACTGAGAAATTAAGCATGCTCTAGTCTCTCCTCCTCTTACTGCAGCCAGTCCTAACTAATCCCTTGGACCAGTATCCTCTTATTTGGTCTCTCGGCCCTCTGTCTGTCCTCCTCTTCAGAGTCTCTTTTACATTGGCCCCAGAATTACTGTCTTTTAAAATGTGTGATCCTCTTTCTTCTCCCTTGGTCAGAAAACACCTCTTGGATTTTGTTGTTGCTTATAGATATAAGCGATAAATCCTATGTCACCAGCTTAAAGTCTAAAATAAAATCATATTCTTTTACATTTTCAAATGAAGTATTTTTGAGATCTCATTCTGCCTATCCCATGAATACCCTTTTCCCCTTGTTAGGGTTCTTATCGAGGAAAAAATTGCACCAGACGGTGTTAAAACATGGCAAGGATGATTTTCATTCAAAAGGAAGTTGCAAGGGAGAGGAAAGGAGTAACTAAAGAGAGGCAGGAGCACTGTAATGGACAGAGGGGACCATTACAGTGAGGGGAGAGAGAGACACCTGAACTGTCCGCTGAGACACAGGTCTGTGGGCTTTTTCAAAGGAAGTTAAAGGACATTGGTGGGGGTGGTAAATGAGGTACCAAGGTTGCAATTAGGGCCAGTTTGCTCAGATTGTTTTCTTTTTTTATGATCAGGCCACCTGGATCCTGGGAGATCCAGAGGATACAGACCGGGAGATTAGGAAGGGGAAACTAAAGTTATCAAACGAGCAAATCGTTAAGTCTTGGTCACTTCCTTGAAGTAAGTCATATTGATTTCCGGAATATAAAAGGATAGGATTTCCTTAACATTGCCTAAGTCCTTCAGTTATCAACCTGGTGACTGTAGGCAAGTTATTTTAGCTCTCTGTTTCCTAAACTATAAAATATGGATAGTAATAATAATATGCTTGTTTTATATGGTTGATGTGAGGATTAAATGAGATGGTACAAATGAAGCACTTCAAACAGTGCCTGGCACATAGTAAGTTCTCAGTTAACATGGACTTCTGTTGTTATCATCATCCTCTCCTTGAGAGAAAACTGGAGAACTCCGTAATTTGTTGTTGTGGTTGTTTCCACATGGGATCTCTTTGGAAAATCCCTCAGGTAGCCTCAATGCCATCTTCCTCATCCACTGTGGGTTGGACTATGGTCACATGGATACAAACCACCATCATAACCTGGCAACCCAGCAGCCTGCTTTGCACATAGAGCCATTTCACTAGAGGCACTCCTGTAGTGCCTAGTCGCCTGGGTTTGGAGTTTCCAGTCTCAGCCAGCTCTCTTCTCCTTAATACTCTTAAGTCTTGCTCCCCAAGAGCAGCTGAAGTCTTTCCTTTTTTCAGTTCATTTCTATTTCACGTATGAAGCAGTGGAAGCCCAGAGAAGTTAAGTAACTTGTCCAAGATCACTCAGTAGTAAGTTGTGGGACCTAGACTGATGCTGGGTACCACTATACCATACTGTACTTAAAATCGGTCACCCTGGTTTAGCCCCAGATGGTCTTTCTAACCACCCACATCACAAACACTTTACTTTTACAATGCTGAACTTCTTTACTTCTTTTGTTGACTTAGTGCTTTTGCCTATGCTGTTCTTTTCTGCCTAGTCTTTTTTTTTCTACCTTGCAAATGCTTACTCATTTTTAAGTAAGCAGCTCCATTGTCTCTCCTGTAAAGACTTCTTCATTCTCACAGGCAAAGTTACCTCTCTCATTCCTCTGCCCGCCACATTTTGTCTATTCCTCCTTTATGAGACTTGCCGTATTGTATTGTAATTGTAAGGCTGCTTGTCCGTCTCCCATGTTGGACTGACAAGGGACCCTATCTTATTTATCCTTGGGACTTTAGCTTTTAGCACATAGTCTGGCATACAGCAAATGCTCATGAAATGTGAAATGAATGAAGAATAAATGTTGCAGAGGAACCTAAAGATGCGGGTGGGCAGTGAAACTACAGAGTGAAATACCATAAAAAGTTTTAACAAATGATTTTAGGCAAAGAGAAAATACATGTATCTAGTGACAGGGAACGAAGCAGAAAAATGGTATCATTTAAAATGTGAGTGTATGAGATAAGTGGTAATGGGGCAGTAGTCCAGAAACTGAACTGGAGTGGGGGATTAGTGCTTTTCAAACTTTTTGGCTCAAGTACCTCTAATGGTAGAGGATCCAAAAAACCAAACCCACTGCTGTCGAGTCGATTCCGAATGGTAGCCACCCTATAGGACAGAGTAGAACTGTCCCATAGAGTTTCCAAGGCTGTAAATCTTTGCAGGAGCCAACTGCCACATCTTTTTCCTGCGAAGCAGCTGGTGGGTTTGAACCACCAACCTTTCATTTAGCCTTAACCAGTGGGCCACCAGGGCTCCTTGTGGTAGAGGATAATGACTGTGTAACCCTCTGGGGCTTGGGAGCAGAACCCCAAGCAGCCCTCTTGCCTCAAGTGCAAAATATCTATGAATATTTTGAACATATCTATGTTTTATATTTAGAAATTCATATACATTTTGCATTCTGTTTTATTATCTGTGAGTTTGTTTTAACATGAAAATACTTTTTTCCCTACCCACCTTATCCTCTAGTAAAATGGATACTGCATGAACATACGTCGTTTATCCTCTGGCTTCTAGCACATTCTGGCATGCCCCCATGCCCAAATTTGGGAAGCATTGAATAAAGTTATAGTTTCATATGGCAGCAGACTAGCTTTCTGTGTGGGGGATTGCCTACTCAAGAGTATTATATCACAGAACCAAGGACGGTGAACTCATCTTGTTCTGACTAACAAGGCTGTTCCTGGAAGGCTGCAGTCAGTTGGAGGCACCTCATTACTAGATCGCTGGGGACTAGCTGGAGAGAGTTCACAGAAGACCCGCAAGAACGATTGAGAGACTGGAGGGGCTGACTGATGAGGAAAGGATATAAATGAAAACCGTATAACTTGGCTGAGCCAAGATAGCAGGAATATACAACTGTATAAATATCGTCTGTTCTCCCTTTTATGAGAATGGGTCTCTCAAAAAATACATGTTCTTCAGAAGTAGAAATTTTTTTTTACATATCCTTGCATTGTTAAAAATTTGAAAAACACTAAAAGGTATAAGTAGAAAAATAAAAATTACTTAAAATGCCATGCACCAGAGATGAACGCTATTGACATTTTTATGTTTTTCCTTCCAGTCTTCTTTATGTAATGTATTTCTAAAATCGGGCTCATGCTATGTAAACAATTTTGTGCCTGCTTTTTCCTTTAATGTTTTATTTATGAGCATTTCCCTGTGTTGTTATTCCTTAAAAATGCCATTTTTAATGCTTATACAATATTGTCTTATGGAGAGCTCTCATATGATTATCCTATAGTTTATGTAGTTATTCTCTTGTTTATGGATTCTTTAGGCTGGTTCCAGTTGCTAGGTGACCCAGATTTTGGCTCATATCTTTGACAAGTCTATTGTAGTATTTTAAAATTAAATGTACATACCACACTTGTTGCCCTTGAGTCAATTCTGACTCATGGCAACCCTATAGGACAGAATAGAACTGCCCCATAGGGTTTCCAAGGAGCAGCTGGTGGATTCAAACTGCTGCCCTTTGGTTTAGCAGCCAAGCTTTTAACCACTGTGCCACCATGGTAAAGATGCAGTAGAGTAGTTGTTAAAAACGTGGATTCTGGGTCCAGATTGCCTGGGTTTGACTCAGCTCTGCTTTTTATTGTGTATAACCTTGAGAAAGTACCTTAACTTTTCTATGGCTCAGTTTTAACTCATGTGTAAAATAGGGATAATATTTATGTCTTTGGGTTGTGAGTTAATACATATAAAGCCCTGAGAACAGTCCCTGCCATGTGGTAAGTGGTTATCTCTTTTCATTGTTACTGATCAGTGGTCTTTTTTTATTTGTTTTATGGCAACTGTGTCTTTGTATGCATGGCCACAAACCCCCTTTCTGCTACATTTGGTTCATGAGCATCTTTGAAAGTTACAGACTGACTTTACTGAACTTTACTCGTAACTTATCTTGAAAGTTCACAAATTTTTTTCTACTCACAGTAGCGGATTTTACTGATTTAAAGATAAAATCAGCTTTGTTTAACCATGTCTTGCAAATACATACATGAACACAAAGGGAGCAGACAGCACAGGCTGATGATTAGGTTTTAAAACTCTTGGTTTCCTCTTTCCAACTGAATATTGTCTTGATTACTTATCATGGTTTATGAGGCCTTTCCTAATCTGGCTCCACCTACCTGGCCTTTTGTCTCATTTTTCTTCACAGTTGTTCCCAGACCCTGTGCTCCATACCCATTAAACTGAAACTGGGCATGTGGTTGTGGTGAAGCTCACTCTTTAAATCTGTGCTCTAGTTTACTTCTACAGGAGGCCTGGGATCAGCTGATTTGCTTGAGCTTCCTCCTGGGGAGTGGCACGATTACAAGCACTGAGGTTGCCAGTTGACTTTGCTTGTGGAGTTGAAGAATGGCTTCAGGGAAACTATATGGAGTTTTAATTGGGAAAGCTTGGGCAGAGTTTACCAAAACAAAAATTTGATTCCAACTCATAGCGACTCTATAGGACAGAATAGAACTGCCCCATAGGGTTTCCAAGAAGCGGCTGGTATATTCGAACTGCCAACCATTTGGTTAGCAGCCATAGCTCTTAACCACTACGCCACTCGGGCTCCACTCTTCATTTTTCTTAGTGTCCCAGGGTTTCCATTGCCTGTTCTACCTTCTCTTTGTTGTTTTCTAGGGATTCTATTTAAGAAATAAAAACCTATTTCACTGCCTTTTCTTTTTTTTTAGGGTAGGATCCTGGGACACCAGAATAGATGCATCTTGTGGTTAATTGTGCCCTGCACTAGAGAGAAGTCCCGGGATGATATTCTTGGGCTGCATTTCTCTACGCTGGAATTTACCCATTTCATTCAAGAAACATTGACTGTCTGCTTATGGTGACACATCCCAGTGAAGTCTGATGGACAGACCCTTTCTGTTGACCTTGCAGCTTTTTTCTCCCATGTGGAAGTTGGAAGATAGGGTGAAAGGGGCAGAAGTGATCTGCTTTGGTGAATAGGAGTGCTCCACTCAGTTCTCAGAACATGGGCCCTCGTTTAAAGGTAAGATAATAGAATAAGTTAAGATTCAGTTGTTATTGGGATGCAGAACATGGATCCAGTGACCAGTTTCTAAGCCTTTTCAGCAAGGGATGATAGCTGTTGAAGGTCACAGTTGCAGTGAGAATTGACTTTGCTGCCAGCAGGGCAACTTGGAGTATGAAAAAGCCAGTGCTCCATTTTTTACAACTGATCTTCAGTGTTAGGGCTAAAACTTATTTGATATTGTAATTATGAATCTTTATACAAAAAAATAAAAGTGCAAAGGATTTTAGAATATCTATGTCAGTCAACTTTCTAACATTCTCTTGAAATAGGTATTTTCAAGTACTCCCCCCGCTTTTGTAGGTAATGTGAGCCGAAGTGCTGTGGTGTTAAGCAATTTACTCAGAATTCCTTAGTAAGGAAGTTCGATATTTCTGTGCTAGATAATTGATACTGCATTCCATTTTCCTTTGTCATGCATAATTTTTATTTCAAAAGATGTAAAAAGAGCCCTAAGAGTCTGTTTTTCTAATTTTAGCCTCACTGTAAGATTCCTCCCAGTGAGAGTGGTTAATGTCTTTCATACTTTCATTTACCTGCTTTATTACATATTTTCTCTCAAACACTTTACTGTCCTTATGACTCCATTCTTTTTCATGATTGAGTATTGTGTAAGGTTAAGTAAGAGCATTGGGCTTCAGAGTCTCAGCAGTGTCACTCACCTAGCTGTGAGATGTTCAGCAAGTTAACTTTTCTAAGCCTAGTTTTTTTTTAATCTGTAAAATGAGACTAATAGTGCCTTTCTTACCAAGTTGTGACAATTATTAGGCTAACATATGTATGACACTTAATGCAGTGCTTGGCTTATAGTAAGTGGCTCAATAAAAACAAATGAAAAAAATCAAACCCTTTCCATAGAGTTGATTCTGACTCATGGTGACCTTATGGGTGTCAGAGTAGAATTGCACTCCATAGAGTTTCCTTTTTTTGTTTTTAGTAATTTTTCTTTTTTATTGTTGAAAATATACACAGTAAAACATATACCAGTTCAACAGTTTCTACGTGTACAGTTCAGTGACATTGATTACATTCTTTGAGTTGTCCACCATTCTCACCCACCTTTTCTGAGTTTTCCTCCCCCATTAGCATAAACTCACTGTCTCCTAAGGTTCCTATCTAATCTTTTGCGTTACTGTTGTCAGTTTAATCCCTATAGATAGATCTTAAAAGAGCATAATGCTGAAGGCAGGCATACTTTACTAGTTAAGCTAAACTATTGTTTGGCATTGGATTTTCAAACGGAAGTAGATCACCAGACCTTAAGAGAGTAGCTATTGTTATTAGTTTATTACTACTACTGTTACGCTTTTTGAGAGATGAGAGCAGCCTTTTAGGAGGCAAGATGCTTGTTTGGGAAGGAGGCCTGAATAGTTGTGATCCCAACTTTTAGGTCTATACATCGTCTCTTCATAATAGACCCATCTGGGAGCACTTTAATATGTGTGTATAGACAATGCTACTGTTGCAACTGTGGGCTGCTTTTCTGGTAGGACTTTAGACACCAGTCTGAATAGCGATTTCTGTGAAACTTGAGAAGGTCATTCCTTAAACTATCTATTCTCTGTGGTTCCATTGGGCATATCAGAGGAACTAGCAGCCATTTTCTGTCTCTTTCTCTTAAAAATTTCTAGCACAATCAACTGTAAAAGCACACCCCTTTAAAAAAGCTGTCTTGGTTTCTCCCAAATCTGAGCCTAGAAATTTTCAGTTGTCTTGTCTCTAAGTGGAACAGTGGTTAAGAACTACAGTGAGCTACGGCTGCCAACCTAAAGGTCAGCAGTTCAAATCCAGCAGCCACTCCTCTGAAACACAGTGGGGTAGTTCTACTCTGTCCTATAGGTCGCTATGAGTTGGAATTGACTCAGCAGCAGTGGGTTGGTTGGTTGTTAGTTGTCTCTAAGTAATCGTCTAGTGCTGATAAAAGGTACTGGATCAAGGTAACATTGATAACTTTAATATATATTGGCTTGAGAAGAGTGAATTCAGTGTATTGTATAATGGAGAGCATATACAGCCTATATACTAAGCTCAAAAATTAAAATTTGATAGAACAATGATGAGATATGAATATCACTGTACAATGGTTTTTTCCGTGGCAATACCTTAGGATGGCTCAAATGGTAGGATAGTTTAAAGATTGAAGTCTTTTATTCTGGTAACAGAGTAATAAAAGTTTAATAACGGTGAAAGTCCCCTCCCCCCCCACCGCCCGCTCCTGCTTCAACTATTCTTACCTTGGCAGGCATCACTTAGGATGAGAAGTACAGTTTCCTCCTTTTGTTCCTCCCCTTGGCCTCTGCTAAGCTTATCTTCCACAGAGCCCATTAGTTTGTCTGATTGGTAATAGCACAAATGACTTCTCTTACCCACTGCTTATTATCGGGATGACCCAGGGTTCATTTTAATTACATAATGCCAACATGATAATAATACTTTTTAAAATCCACATTTTATGTAGCTATCCCTACTTAGATGGATTACTTCCGGAAGGAAAATGTAAGTAGAAAGTGACTCCGTTATCCTCTTTGCTTGTGTTAATTAGTACCACTTTGCATGGGTGAGGAAAACTGTCTTGGGAGCCCAGATCTAAGAAGATGAAAGCCATGTTATTGCACTTTCCAATTAGCAGGAAAGCAAGTGGCTATCTGTGGTATTCCTAGGATCGTCAGTAGACTGGAAATCTTCAAGGCGAATGATGCAGTCTCTCTTTGTTTCTCTGAAATATGTCTGAAGGCACCTGTCAGGCTAGAGAAAGAGGACAGGGATAGTAAGGCTGTAGACTAGAGGGAGTTAGTTGGCTCAAGCCATATGCTCTGCTTTGTCTCACTCTGAGATGGCTGTAAGGAAGAATTGGAAAAACTAAACAAGGTTTCTTTTGCAGCTACAGCTGTGATCTTCGGCTGTCTGTCGGCATTGGAGAGACCTGATGTTTTACGTTATTGGTAAGTTATGTGAAGAGCCTTCTTTATTATCTTTTTGTTAGGGTTGCTTACATCCTTGTTGCCTCCCTGTCTACCCCCTTTCCCCTTGAAAATAGACCTAGAAATATTTCCATTCATGCCAGAATGTACCATCACAGAGTTGGCAGTAGAATTCATTCATTTGGGAAGTATTTATTGAGTAATTGTAGCCAGTGCCAAACACTGTTTACTGTAGAATCAAAGTTGACTAAAGCAAAAATCTGCCTTCAAGGAGTTCATAACATGAAGGAGAGATGGTCAAATCAAAAGAGAGAAGTTCTAATAGATGAATGTACACAAGTTTGAGGGAACCCAGAAGAGGAAACTGCTAACTATGGTGGAGGACTGGGGAGGGCTTTACGGAGGATTTGTTGTCTGAAGTGAAACTTGAAGGATGAGGTGAGTTTGCCAAGCGGACAAGGAAGGTGAAGGCTTCCAAATGGCAGGAACAAAATGCACATTCCTTTTGCTACTTTTGTGAAGGCCCAGCACATGCGGAGGTTGGAGAGTTGGGGGAGTGTTATATGTGATCCATGGTGTAGAACAAAGATTGGCAGACTTTTTCTGTACAGGGCCAGATAGGAAATATTTTTGACTTTGAGGGCTGTGTGGTCTCTGTTACAACTACTCAGCTCTATCAATGTAGTGCAAAAGCAGCCATAGATAATATTTAAATAAATGAATGTGGCCGTGTTCTACTAAAACTGTACAGAAACAAGCAGTGGGTAGGACTGACCCGAAGGTTGTAGTTACTGACCCCTGGTATAGAAGTTCCTCTTGTCACCCACAGACAGGGGTAGTGACCCAGTGCAGTGTTTCTTTGAAGTCTTGCAGTTTCATCCTGATAACTTACAATGTTTGATATGCCTAGCCTGTCCGTGATGAGAAGCTATAATGTGTAACTGGCAGATGGTATGTGTGTTCTCTCTTTTATATAGGTGGAATCACAGTGTCTGTGGTTGCATTCTTCTTCACAATTAAGTTCCTCTTTGAGCTTGCTGCACGTGTAGTCAGCTTCCTCCAGAATGAGGACCGTGAGCGCCGAGGGGACCGGACTATTTATGACTACGTGCGGGGAAATTACCTGGATCCCCGGTCTTGCAAAGTCTCCTGGGATTGGAAGGACCCCTATGAGGTGGGCCGCAGCATGGCCTTCCGAGTGCATGTAAGGGAATGTTTCTGTCTCCGCACCCACTGGGTTTCTGAATCACTTGCTTTCCAGAGCCCGGTTCAGTCTGTTGGTGGTGTTGGCCTGAAATGTTACCATTTTTCCTGGTCTCTCAGCCCCTCCCAGAAACTTGGAAATTAGTTGATATCTAAAGACTTAGGAATTTCTCTATCATTTTGGTTTAATAGGTGCTTAGTTTTGAAGAAGTATAAAGCTTAATGTTCTCTTTTCAAAATAAGAAAAATATTCCTGAAAAGAGTAGATGTTATAGATCAGAGGTCAGCAAATTAGAACCCTAGGACCGAATCAAGTTTACTCCCTGTTTCTGTAACATTTTATTGGAACACAGCCATACCATTCATTATATATTGACTGTGGCTGCTGCTTTCGCACTTAAATAGTTACAACAGTTGAGTTGTTGCATATGGCTCACAGCACTGAAAATATTTACTATTGGCACTTTACAGGAAAAGTTTGCCGATTTCTACAATGATTTCCCCACTGCAGCATTATGCTTGGCTTGAGAGCCAAACCCACAACTACCCTTGCCTGGTGCTATAGTACAGTCAGTACCACTGGTACTGGCCGACTTACTTTTTAAGTTTGGGTCAGCAATGATAATAAAATATAAAGGGCTGCTAAGACAGGGGCAATGTGTATACTTAAGAAATGTCAAGTTTAAACTGACATTTTCTTGATTCATTGGTATATTTTACCCCTGTCTTCTGAACAGATTAAACATTTGCTTGTGCCTTAATTGTTTTCTTTGAGATGTTGAGAGAATTTTTTTCTCCCTGTGTTTCTGTGAGCAGGATGGTAGGAGTGGGTGGGTACTGGGATTTAGCAGTGTGACCCCTGCCAGCTACCTCCTTCCTTACCCACACTGTCTCTAGTCACATGGGGAATGTGTTCTCTCTCTGCATGCTAATGTGTACCCCTCTTCTCCCCATTGCAGTTATTCTATAAGAATGGACAGCCTTTCCCCGCACATCGGCCTGTGGGACTAAGAGTTCACATCTCCCATGTTGAGCTAGCAGTGGAAATTCCAGTGACCCAGGAAGTTCTTCAGGAGCCCAATTCCAATGTGGTAAAGGTGGCCTTCACTGTGCGCAGGGCTGGGCGTTACGAAATCACAGTGAAGCTTGGTGGATTAAATGTGGCCTATAGTCCCTACTACAAAATTTTTCAGCCTGGTAGGTTGTTTTCTTTCTTCCTCTCTTTTTTTAAATAACAGCTTTATTAAGATTTAATTCACCTACCGTATGATTCATTAATTTAAAGCACATAATTCAGTGGTTTTTAATATGCATAGAGTTGTACAACCATCACCACAATCAATTAAGAACATTTTTATCACCTCAGAAGAAACCCTATACCTAATACCAAACCAAAAAAAAATCAAATCCAGTGCCATCTAGTTGATTCCGACTCATAGTGACCCCATGGGGTTTCTAAGGCTGTAAATCTCTATAGAAGCAGACTGCCACATCTTTTCTCCTGTGGAGCATCTGGTGGTTTCAAATCACCAACCTTTTGGTTAGCAGTTCATCACTTTAACCTCTGTGATACCTATTAGTAGTAAGTACTTCCCATTTTCCTTAATCCCCTATGGCCCTAGGCAACTACCAGTTGACTTTCTGTCTCTATAGATTTGCCTATTCTGGACGTTTCATATAAATGGAATCATAAAATATATGGTCTTTTGAATCTAGCTTCTTTTACTTAGCATAATTTTTTCAAAGTTCATACATGTTGTAGCATGAATCAGTATTTCATTATTTTTATTGCTGACAAATATTCCATTGTTTGGATATACCACATTTTATGTATCCATTTATCAGTTGATGGACATTTGGATTGTTTCAACTGTTTGGCTGTTTGAATAATCCTGCTGTGAACATTTGTGTACAGGTTTTTGTGCGGACATACGCTTTCATTTCTGCAGGGGTGGAATTGCTAGGCCATCAGCCTGGTAAATTCTTAAGGGGTCAGGGTGCCAGAATAGACAAGAGGTAAATTCTTCCGATTTTTTAAACCTTTTCAAGTAAAAGCACCTTAACTGTAATTCCACCTGTGCTGTCAGTATATGTTTTACTTCCCACCAAAGAATGCCTGCCCAAGCGTTTGGTGTCTAGCAATTGAGGCCTTCGTCTCTGCTTTTATTTAAATTTCTTTTTCATGTGTCCTCTATGCCAGAAAACAGATGCTTAAAGTCTTTTAAAAAGAGTAATGTCTGACTCCTGGTTCTGCAAAGTATATTTAGTACATTGTGATCCCATGTGCCCTGTGTGCCCTCCTTGGCTTTCTTTTGAGGGTGTCACACAGATATTGGCCAGTTTGATATCCACAGAAATGATAAGACCTTGGGTACCTTTTGGAGTCAAACCACAATGAGAGAAGCCTTAAGGAGATTTGTGTATCTGTGCTTGACTGGTCTTCTGTTTTCTTTCCCTATAATAGAGGTAGGCTCTGGATAAGATGGCTCCCAGGCCATCTCCCTCTCCATATATCTTCTCCTTTGCTTACATGCCTCACTCAGAACTCCTTTCCACATAAATTATCATCACCTCAGCTTCTTGTCACCAGTGGAGAACAATTCATATCCTTATAACGTGTACCAGCATTTTGTTCTAGAATTAAACTTTTTCTTTTAATTGTAGAGTCACATGTAGTTGTCAGAAATAATGCAGACAGATCCTATGTACCCCTTACCCAGTTTACCCCCTTGGTAACATCTTATAAAACAATATCACAACCAGCGTGTAGACATTGATACAGTCAAGATACAGAACAGTTCACTATCATGAGGATCCCTCCCATTGGCCTTTTATAGCCACACCCATTTCCCCTCCAGAGCCTACTCATTTCTTAACTCTTGACAACCCACTAATATGTTTTCCGTGTCTATAATTTTGTCATTTCAGGAATATGGTATAAACTGAGTGATACAGTATGTAACCTTTTGGGATTGGCTTTTTTTCACTCAGCATAGTTCTCTGGAGATTCTCCAGGTTGTTGAATATATCAGTAGTTAGTTCCTCTTTTGCTGAGGAGTCTTCTGTTGTTTGAATGTGCCGTTCACCTATTGAAGGACATCTGGGTTGTTCCCAGTTTTTGGCTGTTATGAATAAATCTATTATAAGCATTTGTGTACGGGTTTTTGTGTGAACATAAGTTTTCATTTCTCTAGAATAAATGCCCAGGAGTGCAATTGCTGGGTTGTATGGTTGCTGCACGTTTAATATCTTAAGAAATCACACACTGTTTCCCACAGTGGCTGTAGCATTTTGCATTGTATGAGTAACCCAGTTTCTCTGCATCCTCGCCAACATTTGATATTGCCACTATTATTTATATTTGCTATTCTGGTAAGTGTGTAGTGATATCCTGTTGTGGTTTTAATTTACATTTCCCTAATGGTTAATAATGCTGAACATCTTTTCATATGCCTGTTAGCCATCTGTGTGTCCTCTTTGGTGAAATGTCTCTTTGTGTCTTTTGCCCATTTTCTAATTGGATTGTTTGTTTTTTACTGTTGAGTTTTGAGAGTGCTTTATGTAGCCTAGATGCTAGTAATTTGTTAAATACGTGGTTTGCAAATATTTTCTCCCAGTCTGTAGCTTCTTTTTATCTGCTAAACAGGGTCTTTCACAAAGCAAAAGTTATTAATTTTGATATAGTCCAATTTATCCTTTCATGGATAATGTTTTTGGTGTGAAGACTAAGAACTTTAACTAGCCCTAGATCCCAAAGATTTTCTCCTTTTTTTTTTCCTAAAAGTTTCATAGTTTTACATTTTGTATTTAATACTGTGATTATTTTGAATTAATTTGTGTATAAGATGTTGGACTTGGTCAATAATTTCTGTATAAAATGTGAGGCTTAGGTCAAGGTTCATTTTTTTTGCCTATGGATGTCCAGTTGCTCTAGCAACATTTGTTGAAAAGGCTGTCGTTCCTCCACTGAATTGCTCTTGCACTTCTGTCAAAAATCAGTTGGGCATGTTTATGTGGCTATGAGTTGGAATCGACTCAGCAGTAACTGGTTAATTTCTTAGTCGTCTGTTAGTTCCGTTGATCTATATGTCAGTCCCTCTGCCAATACCACAGTGTTGATTACTGTTGCTATATAATAAGTCTTGAAATTGGGTAAACTGACTCTTCCCACTTTATTCTGCTTTTTCAAAATTGTCTTAGCTGTTCTAGGTCCTTTGGCTTTCCATATAAATTTTAGGCTAATCTTTTTTATGTCTACAAGAATATCTCACTGGAATTTTGGTAAGAATTGTGTTAAACCTGTATATAAACTTGGGAAGAAGTGACATCTTTATGATGTTGAATGTTCTAATCCATAAACATGGTACTTCTCCATTTATTTAGATTTTTTAAAAAATTTCTTCCATCATTGTTTTGTAGTTTATAACATACAAGACTTGTATATGTTCATTAGATTTAAACCTTTTGGAGTGATTGTTCAGGACCTATTTCCAAGGCTTGCCTCACTCATAGATTCCCAGGAGAAGTCTAGGGCACTATGGCTGTAACTCTCAAGTTCTGTTTTCATCAGGTCCTGTTCTCATTTTGTTTAGTACTTGCAGTGGTTGGGAATTTGTAAAAATAAATCCCAAAGTCCATTTGAATTAATCTGTTTATTTCCATTCTTTTTCTGTACCTCTTAATAGTGTTGTTTATCCCTAAGACTTGGGAGGGGACCCAGCTCTTTAGGACTCACTGATTGAGTAGGTCTTTGTGTCCCAAAGAGCACCTCTCTAAATGTTAGATTTCATTATTTTTGTTCCAGGAATGGTGGTTCCTTCCAAGACCAAAATTGTGTGCCATTTTTCTACTCTCGTGTTGACCTGTGGGCAGCCACACACACTTCAAATAGTGCCCCGAGATGAGTATGACAACCCTACCAACAATTCCATGTCCTTAAGAGACGAGCTCAATTACAGTTTGTCCATTCATGAGGTAAGCAATCACCCTTCTTTCTGTGCATGCTAGGGAGAGTAGGGCTCCTTCCTTTCTCCCTCATTCTTACCCTTTCTAATTCACTCTTCTCTCTTACCCCTCTGCCTGACTTCTGGGCTGCAGTTTCTTCATCTGACAATACCTGTCTCATTAGTAGTTGTGAGACATTATTAGATCATAGATAGGGAAGTTCGTTGTACAGAGGAAATTACCTTGCAAATTGGGAAAATTATGTATGTTAAGTGATGTTCTGTTTTCCTTTTATAGCTTGGTCCTCAAGAAGAAGAAAGCGCTGGTGTCTCATTTGAGAAATCAGTGACATCCAACAGGCAGACTTGCCAAGTGTTCCTGCGACTCACCCTGCATTCTCGTGGCTGCTTCCATGCCTGCATTTCATACCAAAATCAACCAATCAATAATGGCGAATTTGACATTATTGTCCTAACTGGTGAGTTGAAGGAAACCCTGGTGGCCTAGTGGTTAAGAGCTACGGCTGCTAACCAAAAGTCAGTAGTTCGAATCTACCAGGTGCTCCTTGGAAACCCTATGGGGCAGTTCTGCTCTGTCCTGTAGGGTCACTATGAGTCAGAATTGACTTGACGGCAGCACGTTTGGTTTTTGATTTTTGGTGAGTTGAAAGAAAAGCTGTGATTTGGTCTTATTGCTGGGAAATTTGTTCTTTGCATGTCTGCACTCTTCTGACCAGCTTCACAGACATTGAGACAAACTTGGCTTAGAGTGCTATACACTAAGGTAATTTTTTTCTCCTCTGACTCCCTATTCTTTGTTACCCTTCAGAGAACGAGAAGAATATTGTCGAGCGTAATGTATCCACTTCAGGGGTGAGCATTTACTTTGAGGCTTATCTTTATAATGCCACCAACTGTACCAGCACACCGTGGCACCTTCCACCCATGCACACGAGCTCTTCCCAGCGCCGGCCTTCCACTGCTGTCGAGGAAGAAGATGAAGATTCGCCCTCTGAGTGCTATACCCCCGAGAAGGTGAAGAAACCGAAGAAGGTGTACTGCTACGTGTCGCCAAAGGTTGGAATGCCCATTCTTGCCTCAAAATCCCCCTGCCAAATATACTTGGTATTTGGTAACAAAAATCATGAGATAACAGTCTGAGAATCAGGGCAAGATCATTGACTTGAAGGATATCTAGGATACTAAGAGCAGCTGCTTAAAGTTGAGCAGAAGATTGTACCACCTTTTCTGCTGTGAATGTTTGGTTTGGACTAGACTAAACCTCTGTTGAGAGATTATGTTGGAGCACCTGTGGCATTGTGCACTTTGATTGCTTCTGGGAAGATTTTTCAAGGCATGCCTCTTAGAGTTTTAATGAAAGCTGCTTTTAATCATTCAGAATTACTCAACATAATAATCACTGTTGGCTCCTTGTGCTACACTGAAACAATTTGATCTTTCATTCTGTGATTTGTGCAGCTACAGTAAAAGGATTGCACTATCAGGCTAGAGGATTGGAACAGAGAAATTTTGGCAGAAACAGGAAGGTGAACTTCCCAAGGCCCCTGAGCTAAGAGGCACTTTGTGTTAAGGATTTTCTTTTTAATATTTTTATTTTGCTTATTTAGCCCTCATAAAAATGAGACTCTATTAAAACTTCCCAGTACATTCCTTTAATCCTGTAACCAAAATCAAGTTCTTATTCTGTTAGACTTCAGAACACTTTGCTACGTACCATTCGTTATTTTAAAATCTAGCCTTAATTTGGGCTGGGGGGTGTGTTAATGAGTGGGGGTATAGACGAAATAAGATTGACCAGGAATTGATAATTGTTGAAGCTGGTGATGGGCTCATTTATACTGTTTCCTTTTTTTAATATGTGTTTGAAATTTTCTTTAATGAAAAGTTAAAAAATAAAAAAAAATCTGACCTACTGCATGTTCAGATAATTTTTTTTTCCAAGATTAAAAAAATGACTGCATTGTTTTTTCTTCTTTTGTAAATGATGTAAAAAGACCTCTCTTTATTCATATGTAAGAGATTTTTATGAACTTTCTTGGGGAGTGAGTACTTCCCCTCCACCCCCAAATCCTTGGTAACATTCAGTCAGGGACAAAGCAGTGGGTATGAGCCTCTGGTGTTTCCTGTCCATTGACTTGGAGGAAGTCTCTCTGAGCAGCACTGAGCTGAACAGAAGTAGATTTGATTGTTTTCAGATGAAATATTCTCTACTCATAAAGTAAAAACCTGATCTCAGATATTTGGAAATTTTAGTAAGACTTGAGTATTAAGATTATGAAATGTTTCTGTGTGAAATTGGGTTGTCAGAAGTTTTTAATATGCCTATTTTAAGATAGAGTTGATGTATTTGTTTGATTTTGTACTGATTAAATTATCCTCTTGTTCATGGGGAAAAGTGGTTAATGTGAGAAATGTAGATAATATTTGAATTGCAATATCCAAACAGAGCCTTTTTATTTTCTGTATGTTGGCCTTCCAGCAATTCTCAGTGAAAGAGTTCTACCTGAAAATCATTCCCTGGCGCCTTTACACCTTCCGAGTGTGTCCAGGAACAAAAGTAAGTTGAACTTTACATCTGGTTCATGCTGAATAGGTATGGAACTTCTCAGCCTTTTCTTTCTTCCTAGCTAGAAGGGCTTTTGGTGTTTCTGGATGTTCTCGCTGTGCACACACGATTCATTGCCAAATAAAGACAGGGTCTTTATCTGCTTACTAAGTGGCATGACGAATATAGAAATTCTAGAAGGATACAGAAACAAGAATTAGCAGCAACTCAGAATACTTAACAATTACCTTTTGCCCCTAAGACTATATGTATATATGTTATTGGAGAGGATGTTGTAACTTTGGCCAGTGTGCTGTGGTGAACTCTTTTAGACTCAGCTTTCGCATATATTTAACAAAACATTTTTTATCTGTAAATAGAGATACTTTTACTTCTTCCTTACCAATTTGGTTGCCCTTTATTTCTTTTTCTAGCCTAATTGCTCTGACTAGGACCTCCCGCACAATGTTGAATAAGAGTGGTGATAAAGGGCATCCTTGTCTGGTTCCCATTTTCAAGGGGACTGCTTTCAGACTCTCTCCATTTAGGATGATATTGGCTGTTGGCTTTGTATAAATGCCCTTAATTATGTTGAGGAATTTCCCTTCTCTTCCTATTTTGCTGAGACTTTTTATCATGAATGGGTGTTGAACTTTGTCAGATGCCTTTTCTGCATCGATTGATAAGATCATGTGTTTCTTGTCTTTTGTTTTATTTATGTGATGGATTACATTGATAGTTTTTCTAATGTTGAACCATCCCTGCGTACCTGGTATGAATCCCACTTGGTCATGGTGAATTATTTTTTTGATATGTTGTTGAATTCTGTTGGCTGGAATTTTGTTGAGGATTTTTGCATCTGTGTTCATGAGGGATGTTGATCTGTAATTTTCTTTTTTTGTGGTGTCTTAACCTGGTTTTGGTATCAGAGTTATGCTGGCTTCGTAGAATGAGTTTGGCAGTATTCAATCCTTTGTATGCTCTGAAATACCTTTAGTAGTAGTAGTGGTGTTAACTCTTCCCTGAAAGTTTGGTAAAATTCTCCAGTGAAGCCATCTGGGCCAGGGCTTTTTTTTGTTGGGAGTTTTTAAATTACCTTTTCGATCTCTTTTCTTCTTACAGGTTTATTTAGTTGTTCTACCTCTGTTTGTGTTAGTTTAGGTAGGTAGTGAGTTTCTAGAAATTTGTCCATTTCCTCTAGGTTCTCAAATTT